ATTTATTTGAGCATGATATATCGATCATATCAGTGGTGTTTACTAAGTCAAGCATCACTACTAGTGTGGTCATACTGTTGATGGCCAAAGCCGTAGAATACACATAATTATTGTTATGCCAAAAATGTTCTTACTGAAATTAAGAAATGTACAATATCGTGAAGAGTGATAGCAATCAAAAGGTGTGTATAGTCTACAGCTATGCTTCTACAACCCATTATAGAAAAGGCACAGTTAACCCATGACATTGACATTTACCACTTAAAAAAAAAAAAAAAAAATTTATGCATATGCAACCAAAAGTGTATGTAAGATGTTATAAAGTTAATCACTTTTTTGTGTGAACTGAATCACGTTCAGTTGACTACAAAAAGTCAAATGGAGGGACAAATTATTTATTAACAGTACAAATATTTAATGTAGTCTCTCAATTAGTTTGAGATTAAATTAATTTGGGATTATTTTATTCTAATTATAAATGAGTAATTATTAAATGTACAATAGCGTTTAGAAGAGTCAATAACTTTACTATAAATACAGAGCCATCTATCAGCTCTCCTGAATATAAAGTTTATGGTAAACTATATAAATATAAAAAGGGTCAAGTTTGTCATACAAAGCTTTTCAATAAAGGAACTACTACAAGATAAAAACAACTTAAAACATACGTCAAACCTACTTCTCTAATCTATATATTAACAGCTGATTTAAATAGTAATTTGGTTGAAGATTCCGAGGAACAAAATAATAAGAATAACAGCAAATACCAAACTTTCCAGACATTTATACTTAGACGGTGTATGTGTGTGTGTGCGTGTGCGTGTGTGTGTGTGTACTACATAGTATATGACTAACCAGAATTATAAATTCAATTATTTTTAGGAAGGTGACGATATAAAGTTACAAAATCATCACACAAGAAATGTAAACCCTCAGAGTGGATTTGATAAAAGACATTGCAGAGGAACAATAACATGTATATTTACTATAAAGTATTGTGCGATTATACAATAACAACAACACTAGAAACAACTGCTTTTGAAATGTAAACAAGCGTCAGTGTTCGCGTTCTTTCCACTGATCATTCTATATAGATCAGTGGTTCTTTCACACATTCCTTAACTTAAACTGTATTGTTTTAATTCAAATCAAAGCACTTTGGAACAGCGTCTTTTGTTGCCATAGAAACTAGGCATTTAAAAAAAAAACGAACAGAAGTTTAAAAAGTTCAGTCAACAATTCCAAGGCGTCAACAGCCAGTCACGCGCGTATGATATGTCAGAACATTTATTCCGAGTAAAAGCTGCTTCAGACTGAAGTCAACCTGTATGCATTACAGCTGGAAGTTTGGTAAATCTGTGATGAAGGTCTTGAAAGTGATAAAAGAAGCTGACATACTTGGGCTTTTGTGAGAATCCGGGAAGATCATTTCCACTTGTTATTATCAACCTAGCATGCTAATCTTTAGATTGACAGACCTTCTTCTTCTTCTTCTTCTTCTTCTGTTGTTTAAATGGCGGTTGGCAAACCAACTTTAAGGTGCATTGTCCGCCACCTACTGGATTGGAGTATATAGCACTACTTGATAGAATCAATAGACCTTATTCGCAAACACCGGAAGTAGCTAACCGCGGCCATATTGTTGACATGACAACTGTCCTGCTGCCCCTAGCCGCGCGCAGATTTGAGTTGAGGGGAGCAGTAGCCTGGCTTCATCTCGTCGGTATCAAGAGAAGATAAGCTTGATTGGTGTGGACCCACATCAAATAGACCCAATAGCATTAAGTAAAGATCCGTCCTTATTGCCAGCCGTAACTTATCCGGATATTTATAACTATCTCGTTCATACAGTCCGTAGTGCTATACAAACTACAATTTACCTCAACAAGGCAACATAATGAACGACACTCGTCTCATTCGTGGAGGTGGAAAAAAACAAGTTATTTGTGACATACAAGATTTGTTGTATTAAAATGTAAATGCAAAAGAAAAGGCATGAGAGTCGGTTGGTTTTGTCAATTTTAAGTTTTAATTTAAAATGTTTGCGATTTTAATATAAGCACATGGTTACATATTTGACCACTTGCTTGAGCAAGGTTCTCTAAGCGATCCTGGGTGACGTCACTTCTTGTTGACGTTCGAACTATTGTCAAACAAAACGGAGGCTAGCTAGACCCTCCTCCTCCTCATCCGCACACTAACCCCCCAAACCCTTCTTGTCGGTCATTGGCTGGAACAGTTTGTTATGTTTTGGGGAGCGGGTCACCGCAGTTTGCTTTTGTTGCTGTTTGTGGAGCCTGGGCTGTCTACAGAGATCGCGTTTCTTTACAGTGTGTTCAGGGGACAGGCAGCCAGCGGTTAGTGAGGAGATGTTTGCTGTATGTGACAAAAAATGTTTTGGCCTAAAAAACGCGTGACATCGCTTAGAGCACCTTTAATATATAGAAGTAATGCATGGAATAATTGGCTTACGTTGTTAAAATAGTGAGTATGTGTAAAAATAAAAATAGTGAGTACCGGGGTGTTTGTGGTACAGCCGCGGATCAGTTACGCACTGCAAACGCAGCATATTATAAAGCACTATAGCGCGTCCTGCTTCTGTATCGTATACGCACCGCACACGCATTGCACATGGATTATGTGTGAAACCTGTGGTAAAATGATGGGAACAGACTTTTCTGTGGGGAGTTGGCTGAAAGTTAGCCTATTTATCCTAGCTAGCCTCTCTTGCGCTGGCTCAACTCTGTCTCCTTCCCTTCACGTTTTCTGACAGTCGGTAACTTATCGCATAAAAACTAACTCCGGGGTTCTTATTGCTGTTAGAACAGCCGTGTATTACACAACACACCATCACGCTGTTTAAAAAAAAAAATACAGTGATAGTACCATGGATAATACCGACGCTGCCTTGCTTGTCAATTGACAGAATGACAGTTGCCGTGGTTTCTATGTCAACAATATGGCCGCCGCAAACATTGATGACGCAGATCGAATAACATCTAAAAAAAAAAAATTATATCTTTCTTACCAGTTCTGTGTCATTTAAAAATTTTAAAACTTTTTCGTGTATTGTATAATTTGTTCCTTCTAATAATTCCTTAAGTCTATAATTTCTTACACCCCTATCCTTTAAAGACTGAATTAATTCAAGCCTTTCTCTACTGTATGCTACACAATCTAGTAATATATGATTTACTGTTTCTGGATATCCACATTTATCGCAATTACCACTTTCATGTTTTCCTATTTTATGCAAACTTTGATTCAGTGCTGTATGTCCAATACGCAATCTTGTCATAATTACATCCTTTTTCCTGTTATTAACATTTGTCCTTTCCACCCCCACATTACTTTTGTATACTATACAAATGTCTTCCTCTTAATTCATTATCCCATATCCTCTGCCACCTCTTTTTTACTTCAGTCCCAATCAGCCCTTAATTTCTGCTTTACTCATCTGAACTCTGATGTTGATCTTAGGATCTTTCAACGCCTCCTTTGCCAATTTATCAGCTTCCTCGTTCCCCTTTACTCCGACATGTGCTGGCACCCACAAAAAACTTACTCTTACGCCTAAGTGTTTTATGTTAAATAACTTCTGCAATACTTCATTTAAAATATCTTGTCTTGTTACAGAAGTTCCACTCTCTAAACTTTGCAGAGCTGATTGTGAGTCTGTACATATCACACTACTATTAGGCTGCCTTTCTTCTATCCATTGTAACGCTAATGATATAGCTATCAGTTCTGTTGTAAAAACAGATATATGATCTGTTACTCTTTTTGAAATTTCAACACTATCCTGAGGGATATAATTGACAGACCTTTCCGCCACTGAGAGCGGGAATCAGAGCCGAGATCATTTTTGATTGGATCACTGACTATAGCCCCGCCCACACGTTTGGTTAACCCTCTGGGCTTCTTCGGTCAAAAATGACCGAAACCGTTAACGTTTTGAAATGTTTAATTTTTTTTTGCTTCATCGGAGGGGGATGAAACTTGGTGACTTTTGTTGTATTACCTATGTGAACACACACAAAAAATCAAGGAGATGATTCTGATATGTTAAAGGGTCGTAAAAAAAATAGTCACACTTAGCTTCCTCCCGGTCAAAAATTACCGACCATAGGAAATGAATGGGAAATACGAAAAAAAAAAAATAGGAAAACTCAGAGAAACTTTTGGTGGTACAAACATAGACTAAAAAATACAGATACGAACTACAGATCAGCCACTGTGCAGAAAAAAAGTGTACAGCAATGAAGGAGTGACTCTCTAAAACATCAAGAGTGCAAATAAGACCCCCCCCCCCCCCCCCCCCCACACACACACACACACACGCACACATAGATCAACTGGCAAGACTCCAACAGCAAATTTTTAGAAAATGCTACTCGCTCAAATGCACACACACATACACTTACACAGAGAGAGAGAGAGAGAGAGAGAGAGAGAGAGAGAGACACTGTTCGCATTGTGTTCCCTTTCTAACCAAATGTTATTGTTTGATTGTAATCATAATGCAAAACCTGATAAAAATTATATAATTAATGCAAAGTATCATAAAAATCTTTAAAAATTCTAAATAATAATAAAATAATATTATTGAACAAGAATATATTTGATTGGTTTTCCTGGGGGGAAAATATTAAAATTTTAAGGCCGGGAGGAAGCTAAGTGTAACCCCTAAACGAAGAAGCCCAGAGGCTTGAGGAGAAAGAGCTGTTCATCGTAGAAAAGTGTTTGTCTTTTTAACTAAAACTAAAAGCAGATTAATTATAATATACAGTTGATTTATTTATTTTAAACAAGCTCATTTCCATGAAAAGCTCTTTTATATAAATATATTATATATATTATTTTAGTTGATTATAATATAATATAATATAATATAATACAATATAATATAATGTTTGTGAAAATTGAGTAAAAAATTGTTTCTATAGGCTACTATTTTTTTTTAAAGAAAGGGGAAGTCTCCCCATCAGTAAGCTATAAATTCAGAAAACGTAAACACCTCTTCCACATTTGATCTGCTCAGCTGTCTTGACGATATACTCAACACAAAAAATAAAGGGGACAATGCTTTTATTTCCTATCAAATAAGTTTGATTCCATTTAGTTGGAGACGAGACAGAAAGAGCAGGTAAGGACTAAATGTCAGTCTGTATTTAGTATTTTCTCACTGGAATAAATTTAGCTAAACTGATTCATGTGATTTTCTTCTATTCTTTTGTCCTAACGAAAAGACATGAATATTTTATTAATGTTTGAGTGTATTTTCCTCAGAAAACAGTTAAGAACTGAACCTGGACAAATCTGATCTGACTGAAAAAGTTTCTGATGTTGCAGAACAACATGACTGAAGAGGAAACAATGGACCCTGACTACTATGATGTCATCTACGGAGACGAGATATGTCGCAAAGATGAAGTAGTGAAAGTTGGATCCATTATTATTCCAGTCTTTTTCTCATTAGTGGTTGTGTTAAGCTGCATTGGTAACATCCTTGTTCTGGTCATTCTGGCACTTTATGAGAGTCTCAAATCCCTGACCAACGTGTTCATCCTCAATTTGGCTCTGTCAGATCTGCTGTTCACTTTTGGACTTCCATTCTGGGCCTCGTACTTCATCTGGGGTTGGACGTTTGGAGAGATTGGCTGTAAAGCGGTGAAGTTTCTGTTCTATGTTGGCTTTTACAGCAGCGTGTTGTTCTTAACTCTCATGACCATTCAGCGTTACATGGCAGTGGTTCATCCTCTGTCTGACTGGGAGAAATGCAGAGGCTTTTCAGTCGCTCCCTTTATCGTTTGGATCCTGAGCGGAGCAGTTTCACTACTCGGATCATTTAATAGCAAAGTTATACCACATTTAAATAGTACATACTGTGAATATGACAGTGTTGAAATTAAATCTGGCATTGCTTATTTTCAAAATGCTTTTTTCTTCTTTGCATTTCTAATCATGGGTTTTTGCTATGGCAGAATGCTTCGGACAATAACAAAATCTCGGACCAATAAGAGACACAAGACCGTTAGACTAATATTCTGCATTGCACTGGTGTTTTTTATTGGTTGGGCTCCATATAACATTGTTATGTTCTTAAAATCTTTGACCGATCAGAAAATCCATCCATTCACAGTCTGTGCAGTAAGCATTAGACTCGACTATGCATATTATGGTTGCAGAATGTTAGCTTTTACACACTGTTGCTTGAACCCTGTGTTTTACGTTTTTATTGGCGTAAAGTTCAGGAATCATCTAAAATTGATCCTGCAGAAGATATTTAAAAAAAAAAAAAAACTCGATTTCAGTCAAGCCAGATTGGCAAAAAATCTATCGCAGGGTTCAATGTACTAAGAGAAAACTCAAGTACTTTTAGCGAATGCTATGAACCAACAATGAGTTCTAAGATGCTGTGAATGTGTGAATGATGTACATGCACTCTTAAAAATAAAGGTTCTAACAGGAGATGCCATTGTGCAGATGCCATAGAAGAACCACTTTCGGTTCCCCAAAATACCTTTCAGTGATCAGTACTTACAAGAACCTATTTCTCTTAGTGTGAAGAATGTTTTAGTAACATAAATAACCTTTTTCCATTGATGTTAAAGGTTCTTCATGGAACCGATAAAAAAAATGTAAGAGTGTAAAGATTCATTGCACTGCAGCTACTGCCAAAACGTTGCCACATTGCAGGAAAATTCCTCTCTCTATCAAGCAGCAAAAGCATTCATTTTTGAGAAAATCATGTTTTAAATTCTCTGTTCTTCCTTTTTGTGGTTGAAGTTCTCATTTCATTCAAGGTCTTATAAAAATATTGGAACTGGAAGTACGTAATGGAAGTAAAATATTTTCACCTGAAATTTTAATATATCTATATATACCTTTTATTTACTGTATGTGTTTACATCATTTTTTTACTGTATTTGTGTTTACATTACATTATTTCTTTCGTGTTTTTGTCACTGCTTGTATGCTATAAATTAAATGAATAATGTACAGTAAAAGTACAGAATGAGCATAAAGCATGAGTCCAGTTTGTGAATCTTTGTTGCATCTGCCCCTCACTCTTAAAAATAAAAGTCCTTTATTGGCATCTATATATGGACACTTATTATTTATCAGTGGAACGAACCATTTTCACTTGTAGAAGGACAAATTGACATTCAGAAAGTGAATTACTGTCAAATTATGCACAGCAAAAAATATGCAACAAGTTTCACATCCACACTCAGGTTCATTACCTCAAATTCTGTTTATTGAACATGTTGTTTCTCTTCACCAGCAAAGAAATAATGCTGTTAGTTTCACGGGTTGGTTCCACAACAAAACAAGTAGTGGATCTGTTACCAGCAGTCTTACTTTATTAATCTAAATAAAAATAAAACAAAACCCTCTGGCACAGAACTATACAAAAGCAACATAAACCAAACTTAACATTGAAGACAGACAAACAACTGAACAGAGGGTTTAAATACAAAGACCAAACAAAGGAGCTAAATGAGACACAGATGAACACAATGGGTTTCTAAGGAAACAAATGATCATACATTAGGAAACTGTAAAGTTTTAGTGTTCCATGTCCCTGTTTAGTTTAAACATAGGGACAAGGAACACTAAAACTAAACCAAAAATAAAACAAACGTCCCATTACTCCCCCTCACAAAAGGTGCCTCCTGATGCCGTAAACCGAAACAAGGTATTGTTGGCAGGAAGGAGAAAACAGAAAAAAATTCCATAGGAACATAGGCAGGAGGAAGAGTCCACAGGGGAATGGGAGGAAGAGTCCACGGGGGAATGGGAGGAAGAGTCCACGGGGGAATGGGAGGAATAGTCCATGGGGGAATGGGAGGAAGAGTCCACAGGGGAATGGGAGGGAGAGTCCACGAGGGAATGAGAGGAAGAGTCCACAGGGGAATGGGAGGAAGAGTCCATGGGGAAATGGGAGGAAGAGTCCATGGGGGAATGGGATGAAGAGTCCACAGGAAAATGGGAGGGATAGTCCACAGGGGAATAGGAGGGAGAGTCCACGAGGGAATAGGAGGAACACTCCAAGGGAGAATGGGAGGAAGAGTTTACAGAGGAATGGGAGAAAGAGTCCATGGGGGAATAGGAGGAACAGTCCAAGGGAGAATGGGAGGAAGTGTTTACAGAGGAATGGGAGGAAGAGTCCACAGGGGAATGGGAGGAATGGTCCATGGAGAAATGGGAGGAAGATTCCACAGGGGAATGGAAGGAAGAGTTCATGGGGGAATGAAAGGAAGAGTCTATGGGAGAATGGGAGGAAGATTTTACAGGGGAATGGGAGGAAGAGTCTATGGGAGAATGGGAGGATGAGTCCATGGGGAATGGGAGGAAGCGTCCATGGTGGAATGGGATGAAGAGTCCACAGGGGAATGGGAGGGAGAGTCCATGGGGGAATGGGATGAAGAGTCCACAGGGGAATGGGAGGGAGAGTCCATGGAGAAATAGGAGGAAGATTCCACAGGGGAATGGAAGGAAGAGTCTATGGGAGTCCATGGGGGAATGGGAGGAAGAGTCTATGGGAGAATAGGAGGAAGAGTCTATGGGAGAATAGGAGGAAGAGTTTACAGTGGAATGGGAGGAAGTACATGGGGAAATGGGAGGAAGAGTCCACAGGGGAATGGGAGGAAGAGTCCATGGGATGAACAGTCCACAGGGGAATAGAGGGAGAGTCCACGAGGGAATAGGAGGAAGTGTCTATGGTGGAATGGGAGGAAGAGTCTATGGGAGAATAGGAGGAAGAGTTTACAGTGGAATGGGAGGAAGAGTCCATGAGAGAATGGGAGGAATAGTCCATGCGGAAATGGCAGAAAGAATCCATGGGGCAATGAGAGGAAGGGTCAGGCATATAGTCCATAAGGGGTGTGGCTTAAGGTTGGCTGAGCTTTGGGTCCAATGTGAGTTAGAGGTCAGCATTAGGGCTGGGTATCGTTCAAAATTTTTCGATACCGATACCATGACTTTGATACCAGTTCCTGAACGATACTTTTTCCGATATCAATTTTATGAACAGATGTTATAGCAGAGGCTGTAACATTAATGTGAAGAGAGGAAAAAAACAAGAAAGCTAAACTGTTAATGCAGCCAACCTTAAGTATAAGCACACTTTAAAGATACCTAGTTTAATATGAGTTAACACACCAATTGGCTGCCGACAGCATTTTTCGCTTTATATTTGCATAAAGTCGAGAACTGCCCAACCTTTTGACGCACTCAATGCTTTCTCCGGTCCGCTGTCAATCCCAAAATCCACTACGCGAGCATGAAGCTCGACTTCCATAGGAATTCATTGAAAACGCTCGCTCCGTGTCAGTGGACACACACCTTAAATTGTGCCGGAGTTTATGCTGGATTTAGTGCGTAAATCATGTTGTTTACAAATTAGACGGATTGCCAAATGTGTTGAAAAGTCATTGATTTAGAGTTGACCGGGAAACGACCTGTTGTTGAAAAGTCATTGACATATAGTTGACCAGGAAATATGATTGAAAATGCATCGATATATAGTTGACCGGGAAATATGATTGAAAATGCATCGATATATAGTTGACCGGGATATATGATTGAAAATCCATTGACTTTTGGTTGACCGGGAGATCAACGGGTGGTAGACCAAACGTACTGCACCAGACACAGCTCATTTCTGGACCCTTGTGACCCATACAATCAGGTAAGCTTGCTTAATGAATTGTACTAAATCAAATACTGTTAGCCTACTCGTTAACATGATGGTTAGTGAAGTAACCGATGTAGTGCTGCAGTCATTGAATTATATTTTGTTAAACCAATGTCAAAATCTGCCAAATTAATGTAACTTTGTGCTGATGGCTATCATGCTTCGCTTCCAACGGGTTACAAAGTTAGCAAAACCTCAGAGTCCTGTCTATTTTTTTGATAGCTAGCTCGAAATAAATTACAAATACAAACCAATTGCTAAATAGGCAGATATATTAGGGGAGGATGTAGCCTATGTCGTGAAATCTATTGTAGTATCTTCACTATAAATCAGACTACTACATGAATAGAGTTGAAGTTAATACTATACTTTGTTTTTGCAACAGACATACACACTCCATGCCTCCCGCATGGCATATCTTCTTCAACTGACTTTTTCAGGATAGAATACAACACTTGTAATACAATGACACCTAGTGGTTACTCCAGGATACTACACCCCCTCCTTCTTAAGCTAAATACCAATAACATTACGTACAGAATATAACATTGTAACAACCACATTCTTAATATTTTAATGATTAGCATTTTTTTTTTCAGAAGAACTCTTCAACAACTATATCAGTTATATTGTATGGATTGTCTTTTACTGACTTGACTTATGCAACATAGTCTTTCAAGTGAGCCGGAGAACGTCTCTCTGATGCAGACCATCTCATGTTTGTTGGTTGGTTAGTCTCTTTTTCAACAACAGTCACTTCTAGCGATTGTCCTTTCTCAAGGGAAGACATCTCCTTCTCTGCAGGTGCATTGACAACATCCGCAATAGGCAATGCAGAAGTGTCACCATCCTGTTCATTTTCTGTGGGTAGTACAGTCTCAAAGCATCTCATCTGTACTGCGATTTCTTATTTGGTCCACATGTCTTTTCACAGTTTGTCCATGCCCTAGAGCAGTTTTGTATGAAAGAGGTCCTGTACAACATTCTACTACTGCAGGAATCCATTTGGGTCCACCACCGTAGTTCCTCACATACACTGAATCTCCAACTTCAAAACTTCTGAGTTTACAGCTTTTGTCATGTGGATGTGGATCTCACCTTCCGTGACATTAGCATTTGAGCAGGTGACAACCCAGTTGTTGCATGAGGAGTGATTCTATAATTAAACAAGAATCTGGCTACTCTTGTCTCCACAGTGTCACCTTTCATCTGTTTCATCCCCTCCTTGAAAGTTTGAACAGCATGTTCAGTTAGGCCATTTGAAGAAGGGTGATAAGGAGCTGACGTTACATGCTGAATGCCATTCCTCTTCATGAAAGTTTCAAACTCGTTATGTTCCGTTGTCTGATACTAACATTTTGGGTAAACCATGTGTACTGAAACACATTCTCAGTTTCTCAATTGTAATATGGGAAGTGGCATGTGTGACAGGATAAACTTCCATCCACTTGGAATGAGAATCTACCAGAATTAGGAACATTCTTCCTAAGAAGGGCCCTGCATAGTCTACATGAAATCTTTCCCAGGGTGAGCATGGCCACTCCCACGGGTGCAAAGGAGCAGGTGCCTTTCTGAAACTTTGACACACCTCACAATTCTGAACCACTCTCTCTACATCCTGATCCATACCAGGCCACCACATGTATGATCGGGCCAATCCCTTCATTCTTGACATGCCGGAATGAGTCTGATGTAACTGTTTCAATACAGCCACTCGACCTTGTGGTGGAATGATGATTCTCGCTCCCCAAGTCACACATCCATCTTTGACCCTCAGAGCATCTCTCCTGTGATGGTACGGTAACACTTGAGGCTCTACCTTCTCATGCCATTCCTTTAATATGTACTCATGTACCGTGGAGAGTTTTATGTCGTGTGACGTCCACTTTCGAATTTGTGTTGCACTTACAGGCGAGTCATACATTAAGTCCATCATCAGCACTTGATCATTAGTGTCATCAGGTTCTCCCTCACCTAGCACTGGGAGTCTACTCAGAGCATCAGCATTTTGGTGGTACTTTCCTGGCTTGTACACAATGTTGTACTGATATGCTTGTAACATCACAGCCCACCTTTGCACTCTGGGTGATCCCATTTGAGGAACTGCCTTCGTTTCATTAAACAAA